ACGGATTAATAGCCTCTGCCAGGTAAGTCCTATCAACTACCTCCACGTGGCGACAGTGTTTTTTACAGTAGTGAAAGGGTGAATAGACAAAGTCTGGCGCTTAGAACCGAATTAGTGGACATGCAGTTGTACCTAGAGGAGCTAGAAAACCCTGATTCCAAACCTGTTGTGTATACATCGACAACGGAATCTGAAAGGATCCGATGGTGTGTGAACCTGTTTCGGTCACAGTCAATCAAGGGAACTCAGCTCCTGATGCTGCATCCCAGCCCTCGCTCAAAACTATGAGGTTTTCCGTGGCCCATAATGTACTAAGTTATTAGTACCTGAGGAATTCTGGAGGTATTTTTGTTTTAAAAATCAGTAAGCTTATTCTTGTATTTAGCTTCAATAGTTTTTTACGTATGGATACATTATTAAAATCAACTTTAATAGCTGTGCTGTTGTGCTAAAATGTAGGGAGTTAAAGAGATGTCTTGTAGACTGTTAGATAAGGGGATATTTTCTGTTTTCCAAAGAGAACTTTGCACATATATACGGCAGTTCAAGTCGCCACACTCCATGTAGCACACAAAGCAACAGAAGAAAGTAGAAGAAATGCATAATAGAGACAGTAAACAGAAATATGAGGCAAAAAGATTAGTAATATCGAAGAACAATATAGTTTCATTGGAAATCACAGGTCACAAGCAGTGGATGCATCTGCGCCAGCCATCACCGAGAACGATAAGTTTGAGCCATATCACCAATTGTCTCCAGCTGTCATTGGTTTTTACCGTCCCGAGGACTTCAACCATTCAGGAAGTCTACACCTTCCTACGTGGCTGGCTTAAACTAATTGTTGTGGATTTCATTGACTAATGAAGCCATTACCCATTCTGTTTCACTCTTATACTTGTCAGACTGTATTGATTCTCTTCACTCATCTTCTTGTCTACCTCTGTGTGCTATTTGGAACGTGGCAACTCGAACTGGTGCACTTCGGTGGGAAGTTCTATGTTGAATCCAGACAGACAATGAAGCCATGTTTTGGTTTGACCACCACTGGCTCTTTTCCAACCCGATCAATCCTTTGTCAGCTCACATTGCCCGTCGAAGAAGGTGATGGCTAGGCATGCATTCATAACCCATGTCCTAACCATCTTAGGCGATATAACTTCACACCTTCGTCAGTTGATTTCCCCTCCTTACCTAGCACTCGACCGATGCCTTACCTCAATATTGCTCGCCTTATTATACCACCACATCACACGGTAGATAAAACGCAGGCACCTGTGATCGAAGACGGCTAACCTTTTCATGTCTCTTACTCTCAAAGGCCGGGTCTCACGGCCATAAAGGAGGAGTAAATAAATAAGTCCATTATACAAGATATAATTTTACTGGAGATATATCCAGTGCTTAGTTATTTTCATACTATCAGATGGACTATTGCACTTTTATATTTATAACTATCTGATATTTTCTATCAATGTCGAAATGATTATTAGCTTGAAGTAGTAGTTTTAATTAAATATCCGTAATACAATTAAAGTGCATCAGTGGCATAACGGTTAGGATGCTCGCCGACCATGCACATAGTCCGAGGTTCTATTCCCGGCCACCGACGCACTCCTTTACCTTGCTAAGCCAGAAATAATCCTGGTAAACAGGCAAGGTTGGGCATGAGACTGGCTAGCAACCCCATCCTGTAAAATAAACACTTCTACAGAAACTTCAAGCCACTAGCTTGAAGCCCTAGGTTCCACTGGGGAATGTGAAGGAAAAAGAGAGAGAGAATACAATTAAAGGTTGTAATCTAGGTATGTTTGGAGTTAACGTGTCTACCTAAACTTAGGTGTTTTCAAAGGTTATCTTCATCTGAACTTCCATACCATATTTCTTTATTCCTTCTATTTTCTCTTCCCTTGAACTTTAAGACACATGGTTATTTTATATCCCTTCTTCTTGTTTTCGTATCTTTTACCTTCCGTTGAATACACGGACATGAAGTATTCCATTTTGAACAACTACGCTACTATATTCGTGTATTTGTCGATAATGTTTGTTAGTAAGATCGTTTCAGCGATTCGGTCAACACTCCACTGAATTGTAATTCAACACTGAAGCGTAAGCATCAATCAAATGGAAGCTTAGGGAAGTAGGTTTCACACTGGTTAAGCGCTCCTTTGAGACATAGTCACAACCTTAAGGCAACTTATTTACTCTTGGAGATTTGAAACTCATTAGTCTGCCAAATTCTTGATAATGTTATACTATTTTGATTAATAATATCATTTCAGCTTGTTATTTCCACTTATTGTTAGAGCTGTAACATACTAGTGAACAAATGGTTATTTATCTATGCTAATTCATATACAAATACGATTGTATAATTAACTATAAATATGAAATCATCATAGTAATAGAATTTTATTTGCTGTAACCTTAATGTAATGCAATAGTCATTTTTCACGTTTTGTGAACTGTGAGTTATGTAAAGCTGGTGTTTCACGTACCAGGTTTTGAGTCACACTAAGTGTGTGTGTGTAAAGGCTGAGGATACCGCCTATTTGTTGAGGATGAGGTGGTTGGGGTGGCATTCGGACGCGTCATTCACAGACTGAAAGCAAAGTGTTTCAGTCAATCAGCGACGTCCCCACTGAAAAGAAATTTCAGTCCATATGCAGACGTCTGTCAGTATTAAGACAAACTTCGTACATTATAGGAGCCAAGAGATGCGCCACACAGAAAACCTCATAGTTCTTTGTGCGATGGATGGGATGCTGCCCAGACAATGGAGCAACATCAGGAGCTGTATTCCCATGATTGACTGTGATCAAAACCGGTTCACACACCATCGGGTCCTTTCAGATTCCGTTGTCCATGTACACACAACAGGTTTGGAATCAGGATTTTCTAGCTCCTTTAGGTAGACCTGCATGTCCACCAATTTGGTTTTAAGCGCCAGACTTTGTCTATTCACCCTTTCACTACTGTGAAAAACACTGTCGCCACGTGGAGGTAGTGGATAGGCTTTATTCGGTAGAGGCTATGAAAGCGTAATCACACGAGGGAGAGAGACAAGTCTTCCTGTGATAATCACAGAGGGATTAGCTTGACTAATATGGTATCTAAAGTCTTAGGCTCAATAATCATGCGTAGACTAAGTGGTGCTCGGGAGACACAAACACGAGAGAGCCAGATAGGCTTTAGACCAGGAAGAGGGTGTATTGATCATATCTTTACCCTCCGACAGATCGACTCTGTCGATCGGGAAGTTCTCTGGAGATGCTTGGCTGTAAAGGGAATTCCAAGAAAATATATTGCACTGATTAAGGCACTCTACTCATACTCATACAGCCAGGTGAGGGCTTACGGCGAGCTGTCATCTGAACTGGTGACGACTAGTGGTGTATGTCAAGGATGCCCATTATCCTCATTTCTATTCAATTTCATCATCGATGTACTAATGGACTTAACCCTAAAGGACTTCAGCGATTCAGGGATTGACTCGCTACCTGGGAATAATCTCGTTGACTTGGAATATGCAGACGATATAGTCCTTCTAGGCGAAGACGCTGACGAAATGCAGAGTCTTCTGAACACCTTGAGCCGCAATCTACGAATGTTTGGCATGCGATTCGCTCCCGCCAAATGTAAGATGATGTTACAGGACTGGACTACATCGACGCCTAGTTTAAAAATAGGAAGTGAAGTGGTAGAGCAGGTTGACCGCTTCACTTATTTGGGAAGTACCATCAGCCAGTGCCAACGGGTTGATCTCTGACGAAATCTCAGCACGAATACAGGGGGCTCGTTTCGCATTTGTTAGTTTACGCCGACTCTGGCGTAGACGAGATGTTCGACTATCGACCAAAGGGCGGGTGTACTGCTCATCAGTCCGCTCCGTCCTCCTGTATGGTTGTGAGACCTGGCCACTGAGAGTGGAAGACATGAAAAGACTAGCTGGCTGCCTTTGATCATAGGTGCCTGCGTTCTATTTCCCGTGTAAAGTGGCATAATAAGGTGAGCAACATGGAGGTTAGGCGTCGAGTGCTAGGTAAACAGGGGAAATCAATCGACGAAGTCGTGAAGCTACAAAGACTGAGATGGTTAGGACATGTGTTACGTATGCCAAGTCATCGCCTCCCTCGACGAGGAATGTTAGCGGTTGTAGGGTCAGGTTGGAAAAAAGCTAGCGGCGGTCAAACAAAAACTTGGCACCAGTCAATGAAATCCACAACAGTTGGTCTAAGCCACGTAGGAAGGTGTAGACTTCCAGGCTGGGGTCCTCGGGACGGTAAAAATCTATGGTTGGAAACAATTGGTGACATGGCTCAAAATCGTTCTCAGTGGCTAGCGCAGATGCATCCACTCCTTGTGACTTATGATCTCCAACGAAACTGTTTTGTTCTTTATTACTCCTCCTTTGTCTCATACCTCTGCTCACTGTCTCTATTATGCTTTTCTTGTACTTTCTTCTCTTGCTTCGCGTGCTACACAGAGTGTGGCGACTTGAACTTCCGCACATATGTGCAAAGTTCTATGTCGTAAACAGACAAACAGACAGACAATCATATGTGGGTATCTCGACTGGAAGACCGAAGTCTACCACCTACCCTTGGCCTCACCAGGTCGTTTATGGTGGCACATGCACACAATTCAACTGCCGCACTGTGGAGTATACAAAACATTACAGTGTTTGTTAATGAAAACCACACCTCCATGAGATTCTAGTTCATATATTTATTGTAAAATCGGTTTAATTATATTTTTCCTAAGTATGCAATCGTTTTTTTGAATATCTCAAGATGAATTTGATTCATCAATTTCCTGTTTTGTTTAATCTATGGTTTGCTGCAGCAGACTACAGGTTATGGCACTCGATTTTCCAGTTTAATGGACTACAGCTTTGATAAATGTAATTTGTTATAGTTTCAGTGTTGATTCAATTCCCCTGCTTCCCCTTTCACTTACTTTCTTCTTCTTCTTCTTCTTCTTCTTCTTCTTCTTCACAGGGAGTTCAATCTCTATGCTAATGTTCGACCGTGTAAATCTATTGAAGGCTATGAAACACCCTACAAAGATGTTGATATAGTCACAGTAAGGGAGAACACTGAAGGTGAATACTCTGGCATTGAACATGTGGTAAGTGGTTGATTATTATTTTTCTAGTGTTGATTTGTAGGGATTTGATTGGTTACAGGATTTTCATCATGAGCTGACATTAGTTAGAAAACCATTGGAACACCTGGGAGTACTGGACAGCTGTTTCGTCCTAGTCTTTGGGACCCTTCAGTAGTACGCACCCACCGGGATTCGAACCCAGGACCTCCTGGTTACAAGGCGAGCTCGTATACCATTAAGCCACTGGGACCCGATCGAATGGCCCACGAATTCTAACTTCTGTCAATTCACGACATAGCGCGACTGCTAGCCAATGTCTTCGGCGAGTATTTATCCTCACACCCGACCTGCTGCACCCTGTTGCTCAATGTATATTTTTTCCAGCGATGATTATTTGACAAGAAGTTATTCCGGTGTGTTTATGATATTAACAAAAAAAGCATAGATAAGGTTAAGGTACCGTAACTTCGAGACATGCTAGAAATTAGTTGGAAGATAGGGATCCTACTGGACCGATCTGTGATAATCATTATAGTTCTAGTTGTTGCTTGTTCAGAATGTCCAGAAGATTTCCACGCCAACCTACCTAGCACAACATGAATTTTACAGGTCCTCTAAAATGTTTTCTGGAGACTACCATCTCTATTAATGATCACCAGGCCATCTTCCTCAGTCCGGTTAAGTGATTTCTGCCTGCAGTATGCTGCTATGGAGCATATACTAACCGTTTCATATCACGCGGCCATCTAAAATGATTTGTGCACATTTCTAAAACGGATAGTAAAGACATCAGTAGACATTATATTAAACATTTCTGCTTTGTGAACAGAAGAATATCAAGTATGATGCACTATCACCAAATCATCACTCCATCGCAAATATCAATGTGAAGAAAATATAGGTGAATCTATTATTGAGAAACGAAAACATTACGTACGATACGACAAGACAAGAATCAAATACACATTAGTGTACTATAAGCAGTGGCTTTTCTCTGGATATTTTGATGGATACATTTGCAGTACTACGTTGAATCCATTTTATGAAAGCCATAAACACCTTGTAAAATAAAATATTCAGGTTGACAAAGCGAATAGACGCTACGTGTGTAAGTAGTTCGCATATAGACGTGTCTTTCTTTGTGAAAAAATAAACAAAACATGTGCGGATTTCTTATTCCAAAAAACAATGATAGTCATAATTTTTGAATGTATTGTTCCCTGAAATTTCGATTTATTGATTTTTTGTTTATGTTTTATTTTCCCGTGCTTTACTTGTTTTCGGCGTTTTACTGTTGACTCGGTTTTCCTTACACGTAGTATGCTACTTTGTATTTCATCTGATTTATGGCCACCTACATTATGCATGGACTGCTTTACTTTCACCTATTGGTTTTCGCAGGGATTTAATTGATTTATTGTTTTGTCATGAACTGAATTCAGCTAGAGAACTGTTGAAAACCAGCGGAGAGTACTGGACAGCTGTTTCGTTCCAGTTCGGAACTCGTCATCGGTACGCACCCACAACACTGACCAGCGGGCTCCACCAGTTCTGGCGTGACGACAGATACTTGTCAATGACTTGGGCTAACATTGGCGCTATATATTGCGAACTGGCAGAATTTAGAGCTAATGCGCCATTGGATTCTGTCCCAGCGACTGAGTGGTATACGAACCCACCCACAACTTCACATACATATGAGTGATTATTTATTATGTACAACACGTGGTGAACTAATTGTCTTTTACATTTTTTTGTCTCCCCATCTTTCTTTCTCATACTCATCTTTTTTGCTTAGATAGTAGATGGTGTTGTGCAAAGTATAAAGCTGATCACTGAAGAGGCAAGTCGGCGTGTAGCCAAATTCGCTTTTAAATATGCCAAGGACAATGGACGTCGTACTGTAACAGCTGTGCATAAAGCCAACATCATGTAAGTTACATGTCAGTAATAATAACAAAAGTGATAATAATCACCTCACCTTATTTCGAACAGTGACTTTGCAGTCAATGAAATTTTTAGTGTTTTCGTTCCGTTTTTCATTCGTTTACTGCGGTCTGAGTGGAACATAGGGCTTCAGGCTTTGAGGTTTCAGTAGAGGTTGTTAGCCTCACGTAGCCCAACCTTCCCTTTCTACCGGACGTACTATTGTCTAACTGAGATATAGCGGTGCGTTGGCAGCAGGGTGTCGGATCCGGACCGTCTATTTGGTTGATACGCATTCTACCAGTGAACCAAAGACTCATTTTTATTTATTTTCTTGTGTCATTTATTTGAGTCGATGCAAGTGTAAATTTTGATCACAGTTTTTGGGAACTGCAGAACTCAACAATGACTTTGTACTAATAAAGGTTTTCTTGTATTTCCCAATTAATGAAAATCAAAACGATATTGTTTTTACTGACGTTTTGCTATTTAATGCTAATAGCTTTATCAAAGTATTATTAATTTTCTTTAGTTTGGTTTGTAAGGGTTATTTATGCTTTACGAGTTGATCACGGATTGATATCAGTTAGAGAACCATTGAAAACCAGGGAGTACTGGACAGCTGCTGTTTCATCCTAGTATGGGAATCATCGGCAGTACGCACCCACTGGGTTTCGAACCCAGGACCTTCCGGTTACAAGGCAAAGGTGCCAGTGGCTGAATGGTATACGAGCAGCTGTCCAGTACTCCCTGGTTTTCAATGGTTCTCTAACTGATATCAACCCGTGATCAACTCGTAAAAGTATTATTAAACCAGAATTTACAAAATCTCAGCATATATATATATATAACAAAGAGTTAAGAGGCGAGAAAATAGACTACTTAGGTCAAGTTAAAAGGACATATTGAAAGTCAAAATAACGATGAAGATCACTAGACCAAATAACAAAGGCAATAGTACATCTGTTATGGTATCAAAACAAACTTTACTAACTTGATCATCGTTCGTCAGTATGGGGGCATTTTTCGTTGTCAAGTTGGCCAATTGGTAAAGATAACAAAACCAAGTGTGGATTGTTGAATTTGATCACTGTGTGTAAAATTATAAAAGTAGTGTGTGTGTTTGCATAGTGAACTTGCTTGTCATATTCGTGTTGATTTTGTCGCTTAGTTGGGGAGGGGAGGGATTATTTCAATATTTTTAAGTATTGGTTTGTTGTAGGGATTATGTTTGATTGCATGGAGGATTTGATCATGAGCTGACATCAGTTAGAGAACCACTGGAAAACCTGGGAGTACTGGACAGCTGTTTCGTCCTAGTTTGGGACTCCTCAGCAGTACGCACCCACCGGGATTCGAACCCAGGACCGTCTGGTTACAAGGCGAGCTCGTAGACCATTGAGCCACTGGGACCCGATCCAATGGTCCTTGAATTCTAACTTCTGCCAGTTCACGACATAGCGCGACCACTTCGCAATGTCTTCTTCGATGAGTTACTGCCTCATCTTCAACCTGCTGTACCCTACTGGTCACGGCTTCCCACTAGAACCCCAGGTTAACTGCCTGAATAGGGCCAGTCACTAGTGAGCATCAGATGAATTTTTAAGTATTGGTTTGTTGTAGGGATTATGTTTGATTGCATGGAGGATTTGATCATGAGCTGACATCAGTTAGAGAACCACTGGAAAACCTGGGAGTACTGGACAGATGTTTCGTCCTAGTTTGGGACTCCTCAGCAGTACGCACCCACCGGGATTCGAACCCAGGACCGTCTGGTTACAAGGCGAGCTCGTAGACCATTGAGCCACTGGGACCCGATCCAACCAATACTTAAAAATTCATCTGATGCTCACTAGTGACTGGCCCTATTCAGGCAGTTAACCTGGGGTTCTAGTGGGAAGCCGTGACCAGTAGGGTACAGCAGGTTGAAGATGAGGCAGTAACTCATCGAAGAAGACATTGCGAAGTGGTCGCGCTATGTCGTGAACTGGCAGAAGTTAGAATTCAAGGACCATTGGATCGGGTCCCAGTGGCTCAATGGTCTACGAGCTCGCCTTGTAACCAGACGGTCCTGGGTTCGAATCCCGGTGGGTGCGTACTGCTGAGGAGTCCCAAACTAGGACGAAACAGCTGTCCAGTACTCCCAGGTTTTCCAGTATTTCAATATTGTCAAAGTCAATTTTTGTGACCTGATTCTATAGCGTGTAGAGGAGCTATGGCTGATGATTTTTCAAGCTTTTCTTTTCCCCCAAATTTTTTCAAACTGTTAAAAGTGAACTTGGTTTGGACATATATACATGACTTCATAGGTTTATTGTTAAGGTTATTCTCGTATTTCGTATTTCTCGATTTCCTATGCTCATTGGTAACTGCCCATTAGATGGATTTCATGACGTTCTAGTCAGAAGTCGTGAATGTTAAGGTCGATGAAGTCAGATGTGAAGGCAGATGCAGCAAGACATTAGTTAAAGTTTGCAGGCCATTGCATCCCATCGTAGGGGTTGATTGGTAACGTGCTCGCCTCGTTACCGCAATGTCTGGTCCCTGTGTGTGACCCCTGGTAGAGTTATGTGATGCCTACTACTGTATTACCCCGAACTAGGATGATACACAAGTGTCCAGGACTTCTTCGTTTCCAATAGTTATCCTATTGATATCAGTTTGTGACCATATTTAATTTGAAAGTAGAAGCATCTTTTAATTTTACAAGCACCACATACATTTTTCTTTGCGTATTTATTTATTTTCAAGCATTTCTCATTGATGATGATATGATCACTATTCATTCCTTTTTGCTTTTGAAATATAAAGGCGAATGTCAGACGGTTTATTCCTTCGAGTTTGTCGTGAAGAAGCTAATAATCATAGAGATATTGAATTCCAAGAAATGTTTCTAGATACCGTTTGTTTAAATGTAAGTTGTGAAATGAAAAAAGAAAATTAATTTATTTTATTCATTTGCCACTATACATGTGTGTTGGAATGTCATATCCACCTTAAACTTGTTGTCGACTTGTCAAAAATCATGAGTGGTACTCATAATCTCTTGAAGTTTCGGATCTGAACCTTGATTGTTATGTGGAATGATATGACATAGTGGGCTTGAATACCGCAGTGACCCAACAAGCTAAACTGGCTGGGACTCATATCCCTGTAGGTCCTACCATGTCAGGAAGGTTGTTTAGATAGCGGTTAGAGTAAAAGCAGTTACCATGGAGTACATGGGCTCCAGAATCCAATCAGATCAAATGGCGTATGAACCCATATGGGTCACCGGAAACCATGGGAATGCAGCTTCTGACGCTGCTCCGCTGCCTTGCGGATTAGACTCTAAGTCAAAGGCTCTGGGGGGTGGTCCCTCAAGAAAACCATCTGCTTCGGTCTGGGCGCCCGGGCAGTATCTCAGCCCTCACACAAGAAATGAAGTAAAACAACAAACAAAAATCGTGGGATGAAGGATTTTTGTGCTAGATTAGCATCGGTTGGTGTGTCACGACTCTCTGGTTGGGGTCCGAGAGATAGCTCAAATCGATGGCTCAAAACATTATCGGATATGGCCAAGAATCGCAGTCATCAATGGCGAACGTGTTGCGATTTCCTTCTTTCTTCCCTTCCTGATTATAGTTGACGAATACTGTTTGAACTTATTAAGTATGACTGTTTTCCTTCCAGATGAAGTTCTTTATCCGTTCTCTACTTATGTTTTTTTTCTTTTCTTTTTTTGATCTATGTTGTTTTATTATTATTGTTTGGTGCATCCTTCTTGGTGCCATATTGTACCAAGGCTTTTCTGCGTTTAAATAAATAAATAAGTATGACATAGTGGTGGAGTCACTGTATTTATTGTCGTTCAACCAGCCGAACGAGTTCACTGAATTCGCTGAACTAGATAGATAGATCAGTGACTGATTCGCATTCATAATCTTCTCTTACACGGAATAGGTCGTGGCTTAAATGACTTAGTTATACAGTCGCATGTGTAATAAGTGATGCGTTTTTAAAATACTTGGGGAAAATCAGCTTCTCCATGACTTCAGATACATCTGCCTTTTTCGTGATTGCCAATAAAATACAGGTCTATTTTACAATTAAATTCTCTTGATCGGTCTTATCGATTAATTAATTTTTTCATTTTTAAAATTTTTTTTTATTATAGCTTGATTCCACACAGCATTTCAGTACAAGTATAAAGTTTTCAGCGTGTGATATCGGTAGCCCAAATTTAGCAGGTCGACCATTGATATCAGGTGTGCGTCGGCCGGGGAATTGTATTGTGCCCCTCCCCCATGGAAATCTTTAGTAAAAGGCGAAAGATTCACCTGCAAATGAGGAGACACCAGAGTTATTGAAAACTGAATAACAAATAAAAATAAATTTTGTCATAGGGAAGATTATGGAAGTATGATGGTATCCTCATTGTACTGGAAGTAAACAAGTTGTATACATCAGAACTCGAAATTGCTGTATCGGAAGGACTTGTCAGTGTTAGATACATTTCGAAGTGCACTTTGCTCGGGAATTAAAACACCATAGCATTCCAGTTTTAAGTGGTGATAGGTAGAGAATGATGGAGAGACACGTGTAACTATGAAAACTTGCTGAGTTGAGTGAACCATCACGAAATGTATTTTTGACCATAGTATCTGCTAAACTAACTACGATAAACTGGCAAAGTTAAACTTGGTATTAGATGGTTGGAGGCAATCGGCAGAAAGCCTTGTACACGACCTAGTTGGCACTCATCAGCAAGGCGTATCTGCAACCTTGAAGGAACTCATGTCGCCTGTCTCAGATTCGAACCCGCGTCACCCAGTGCCGCCTGCAGTCAGAAACGTTACCACTGAGCTATTCAGGCTCACGATTGACCTCCTGTACGACCGTATTGGACATTTTTGATTGCACACTATTCAGTAACCAGTGTAATGTGTGTCTAGTCCTATCTTCGGTGCAGACTTCAAGGCTTCCTGCCGATTGCCTCCAACCATCTAATACCAACATCTCACAGTGCACCGTAATGGCGAGCCACCACCTAGCATGGTGGCCACATTGCAAGCTTGACTGATAGAATTCAGTCTGCACCGAAGATAGGACTAGACACACATTACACTAGTCACTGACTAGTGTGCAATCAAAAATAAAGTTAAAATTTTTTAAGCATCACTAACTACCAATTGGTGAATGACCTCGAACGCACCAATCACGTGAAAGAGGTATTTTTGTGTATGTAATAGATATATAATATTTCTGAAAAAGATGCATATAAACTGTACAAAAGTGTTACACAAGATACCTTCCTGTCACATGTGATAAAAGTAGCTCTCAGTTTTAAGTTGGAGTATCAACAGAGTATATAATTCCATTGTGGGTGGAATTTATTTTGATAAAGTTTCGTAGTATTATATAGTAATATTTATTGAGCAATAAATCGTGCTCGAAACATGGTCATCAGTAAATTTCACTGTATAATAGTGTAAGACATAATCAAAATAAATTTTACTCACAATGGAATTATACTCTACCACAGTGCACAAGTTCTATTCTTATATCAACAGTGGTTAGGACTCTCACCGACCATGCACATGGTCCGGGGTTCGAGCCCGCACCGACGCACATCTGATATCTACGGTCGGCCTGCGAAATTTGGGCTACCGATATCCATGCTGAAAATTCCATACTTGTATCGAAAATACAGTGTGGAATCAAGCTGTAAATCAAAAATAAAAAAAAATCACATCCTATGCATGTAATTATATAGGTCTTCTAGCCCTAACAATAAACTCAATCTTTCCTGAACCTAACGCTAATGTGCGAAGATCTCTAAATTAACTGTAATCTGTCTCAAACCAACCCTAATGTCGCCTTTATTAGGCTAATCTAACTCCAACTTGTCCTTGGCTTAAAGCGTACCTTAGTCTTTCCCAAACCTAAGCTGCAACTTACCAGATATCCCATTTAGTAGCATAACACTTCTATGGGGATATTTTATTGATGATGACAACATTATTTGTTAGGTTTGACTAACTTGATGAGCGCGCGTTTCTCAGGGTCATTGGTGCGCGGTCGCACTCCATTGGTAGCTAGTGGTGCTTAAAGTTTAACTTGGCCGATAAACTCCTACGACATTAACCAGAAAGTTGTGTTTTAGGTTGTTGTACACTCTGGTTACTGGGAAATTGGCAGGATCAGGATGTATTACATATTCCATGATCCAATAACTGTGTTTTTAGAACCGTTTGTCAAATATTTGAAACTCTTTTGACTATGGAGGGTTGCTTTACACGCTGTTGCATACCGTGTTCAGACATACAACCACCAATAAACTGTTTATATTTTTTGTCTACATACTACGCTCATTCCCTTCCATTCTCTGTCTTCGTATCTTTTATTATACAGCTTGTTCAGGATCCAACGCGTTTCGATGTATTGGTTATGCCGAATTTGTACGGAGATATATTGAGTGATTTAGCAGCTGGTTTAATTGGTGGGTTAGGTGTTACACCAAGTGGTAATATTGGTGAGACTGGAGCAATCTTTGAATCGGTAAGTGAATTTCGAAGAAAAGTCTTTTATCTGTATTATTCTGGTTTCCCTATGAAAATGTAGTGTTTATACAGAGCTTTTAGTTTTAAACCGTGTTATTGATTGTATTACAAAATTCAGCTACTGTCTTAGCCTTAAATATTTAGTATCGTCACAGGGTATTCGTGTTGCTACCCACTATTGCCAGATTAAATTATGACTGCAAGATATATCTGTTTGTAGTGGAAAATATGAAAAGGTTAGCTCACCTTGACATCAGGCGTTTGCGTTCTATCCCCGGTGTTAAGTAGTGTCATATAGTCAGTAATATTGACGTTAAGCGTAGTGTTAAACAAAGAGAGAGAGAGAGAGAGTTAATATATGAGTTTGTGAAGCTTGACATTGCTTAAGATTGCTAATTAATACAAGTGCGACGTATGCCGAGCCATCTCCTTCCTCGACAATTTGTGAAAGTCGTGTGAGTTTGTTGATGAGCTTCCTAGTAGGAAGACCATATGTATCATTGATATAAGAATAAAACTTGTGCAGTTTGGTAGAGTGTAATTCCATTATCAGTAAACATTATAGTATAACACTGTGAGACTTCCTTCCTCGACAGGCAGTGTTAATCGGCATAAGATTAGGTTGGAAAAGAGTTTGGGATGGTCAAACCCTAGCCTGAGATCGATCCATAAAGTCTTCAACTTTTGGTATACTTTACTTTACTTTACTTCGGCTATCTCCTACGGGAGGATGAGCCGGCTTAATGAACGTCTCGAATCATCGCTGCCCAGGCGCGGCAATTTGTAAGAGAGTTCATGAAGTTTCATGGGAATTTGGTACGAGTGATGTCCCCAGAATCGCTCGGCCTTTTGTTTGAGAGTGCAGCTCTAGCCTTTACACAACCAAGTGTGACCTACAAGGCAGTAGGAGTGGAGTAAGGAGTCCACTATCCATTGGCAGCTGGTGACCGGAGTTCGGTTCATACGCCTTTTTGAATGGGGCCAGACATCCAGGACATCCAACAAGCCCTTTGTCCATACGTCTGCCGGTGAGCTCCAGTGAGCTTCATACGCCAGTCGTTGGAGGTTAGGAATCAGGGTTTGGCCATCTCCCCTAGACTGTCATCCAATGGACAGTCAACCCGGTGAAGAGCGCCGGGCATCCGCTTTTGCCCTCTCACTTCGGTGAAATAAACACCTCCGCCACGTGAAGGCAGTGAGTAGGACTTCCTCAGGAGAGGCTATGTAAGACGCACGGTCATATGGGAGCATTTCAAGAGGTGTACGGAGGGGTGGCCAACCCGCAGCGCAAGGCACCCACCCCCGACCATCCTGAGGCTTTGGAGGCAACTTTTGGTATGAACACCATTAATTTAGTATGTAGACTGACTGCCTGGAATCCTCAGGATGCTAAGAACCAATTATTATTATTATATCCTTTAATTCCTAGAGGAACATAGGGCTTAAGCCGCTCACGTCTCCATTGCGTTCGGTTCTCTGCCAACTTTTTCACCCCGCTCCAAGTCTGCCCATATGCTTTCATCTCCTCTTCACATGACCTCCTCCAAGTCACCCTTGCACTGACGACCAACTCGCCGCTTCCCATTCGGTCGGGTTCCACTCGAGCAATGGCTTGTCTAGTGATGTCACTTGATGGTTTGTTTTCTCAGAGTATGGCCAGCCAATCCATCTCCATTTCTTCCTGCCTATTTGTTTCACAATCGGTTCCTGGTTGGTTGGTTCGCTCATTGCCAGAGATCTTTGTTGCTGATCTTTTCTGTCCGGCCATCTTATCTTGAGTATTGAGCGAAGACAGCTTTTGATGGAGGTGTGTAGTTTGTTTTAGGTGCTCTTTATGACGCGCTGGCCAAGTCTGTGATCTGTATAGTAGCGCTGACTGACTTCGCATTGGAGTTGAAAATCCGAATCTTATTTTTGATGGTGAGTGCTGTTGACTTCCACACAGACTTAAGAGTAATGAAAGCTTGTCTTGCTTTTCCGATTCTGGCTTTGATATCCTCGTCAGCTCCATTCGCCTGTAGTTGAAACGATGCTTCTCAGGTAGGTAGGTGAAGGAGGTTGTTTCTTTCAGGTTCCTCCCATTTATGCTGATTGTCGTTTGTTGTTGCTGCTGCTGTTGGCTAAGAATCTTCATCACCTCTGTTTTCTCTATGTTCACCTGAAGTCCTATCTTTGATGCTTGACCAATGGCTGGTGACTATTGGTGCTGTCTCGAAATCATTCTCACTCACTCACTCTTTACAGTCTGTCAGCTCCATTAAGTCGTCATGTTTTTCTATGCCATTATTCATTCTCCCATATATATCTGTGCTCAATACACTATCCCATCCTAAATTCCAGTCCTGTATGCTACCAATAAGAATTTGTAAAAAGTGTAATGTGTGATATGCTCTGTGTAGAAGTTACATAATATACTGCTAGTAGATTCTTATTAGTAGTGTAATACGTCATATCTTTCAAATAATTAGAAGTGGGTGGCCTGTGAATTAAGGTGGTATAACGTTTGAAGATACTAATATGGTAGATTAATAATTATTGAAACTGAAGGAGAGTAACCCCACTTACTTATTGGAGCGAATCTTGCACTGACTAAATTGAGTCTATTCTCGTGTGTGTGATGGGATGAAGAGGAGTGGGAAGAGCAGAAAAGTGAGCGGAGAAGGGGTTGAAGTGAAAAGAAGTGCACATAGAATAATAATAATTTTTCCTTCACGTTCCCAGTGGAACACAGGGCTTCAAGCTGGAGGCTTGAAGTTTCTGTAGCAGTGTTTATTTTTACAGGTTGGGGTTGCTAGCCTCATGCCCAACCTTTCCTCTTTACCAGCTTTTTATTTCCGGTTTAGCGAGGTAAAGGCGGTGGCGTCGGTGGCGCAGTGGTTAGGACTCTCGCCGACCATGCACATAGAATAGTTACATCAAAATATTAAATATGCAGTTTAAGATACGAGTTAACTTGTTATGGTTTGTTATGCATATAAATATATGAATATTTATTTATTACTTTGAATTCTTATAGTATATATTGTCAAGTTGGAATACATTGACTCCTAGTTTAGAAAGAGGGAGTGAAGTGGTAGATCGTGTTGATCGCTTCACTTTTTTGGGAAGTTGCATCATCCCCAACGGGCTAATCGCTGACGAATTCTCAGCACGGATCCAGAAGGCTAGTATCGCATATGCCATATTACGCCGTCTCTCGCGTAGACGTGATATCCGGCTAGCTATCGACCAAAGGGCGTGTGTATTGCTCATCAGTCCGCTCCGTCCTCCTTTATGGCTATGAGACCAGACCACTGAGAGTGGAAGATATGAGAAGATTAGCTGTATCTCCCATGTGAAGTGGTATAATAAGGTGAGCAATATTGAGGTGAAGCTTCGGTCAAGTGCTAGGTAAAGAGGGGAAATCAATCGACGAAGCTGTGGAACTACATCGGCTGAGATGGTCAAGACGTGTGTTACGTATGCCTAGCTATCCATCAGCTTCCCCGACGGGCAATGTTAGCTGACAAAGGATTGATCGGGTTGGAAAAGAGCTAGCGGCGATCAAACCAAAACATGGCACCAGTCAATGAAATCCACCGCAGTTAGTTTAAGTCACATAGGGAGGTGTAGACTGGCTTCCTGGTTAGGGTCCTCGGGACGGTAAACACCAATCACGGCTGGAGACAATCGGTGATATGGCTCAAAATCGTTCTCGGTAATGGCTGGCGCAGATGCATCCATTTCTTGTGACTTGTGATTTCCAATAAAACTATATTGTTCTTCGATATTACTATTCCTTTGTCTCACACCTCTGCTAACTATCTCTAATATGCATTTCGTTTACTTTCTTCTGTTGCTTTGTGTGCTACATGGAGTATGGCGACTTGAACTGCTGCACATCGGTGCAAAGTTCTATGTTGAATCCGGTCAGTCGTATAGTCAAGTTGAAGTGGTGTTGCAAATAGACACTCTCTGCTCTTAATGTTCAATGATATCCTGGGTCCCCATTGACTGTGAATCAGGGTGCTCAAGCTAATTAACCAACTTTAGAAAATACATTAATTGTTTAATGAGGACGAATTTGTTTTCATCAATGAGTGTTGTAGGTGACTGGGGTCAGTAATGACTTGGATATCTCATAAAGGCAACGAGAAAATTTCGTGCCTCCTAACCCCACCGGCACAGTAAATTCTGCTTATAAGGCCTTTCATTTGTTGCGATATTGGGAATAATTGGATTTCACAGTGTTTGTATTTTTCGCTATTGTCCAATCTTTTTACCTTCAGTTAACCCTTCACACAAAATATGCAACTTTTCGGTAGATTGTGTGGAGTTGTATGATCAATATCTACCAACGATGCCATGCTATTCTATCAGTCTCCTCGACATTTGTATTTATCGTAATCAATGATTTTACGATTGTCTTTCATTTCAGGTACATGGTACCGCTCCGGACATTGCAGGTCAAGATCGTGCCAATCCAACAGCTCTCTTATTTTCAGCTGTTATGATGCTTCGTTATATGGAGTTAAATGATTATGCGAATTTAATTGAATCCGCAGTATTGGCTACAATTCGCGAAGCTAAAGTAACTAGCTGCTTTTTAATGCTCTTTTTTATTTCTTGCCTACTTATTTTACCATTCCAGTAGCCAGAAAGTTATCAGTAAATTTTATGTATATGCACCTTAATATCTTGTGATGACAACAATCGCTATATTATGTGCCTACCTTTTAATCCATATATAAACTGGTGGACAAAGCAAAGGTATTCTTCTAGTGTGTTAGTCTTTCAATAGTAGAATGCTCACCAGGCATTTACCTGAAAGGTCTGGATTCGCTCCTCTATTAGCGCCTACCGAAACCCCATTTGTCTGTTAGTCGGGCGTGAGACTAGCAACCCCACACCGTAAAAATTACGACACCATTACCACCGAAACTTAAAAGTTTGAAGCCATATACTTCACTCGGAAGACAAGGAAAGGAAAAAAACTGCTCTAGAAATGTTCAGTTATGTCTTGTCTTTTTAGGAACCACTGGAAAACCTGGGAGTACTGGACAGCTGTTTCGTCCTAGTTTGGAACTCTTCATCAGTACGCACTCGCCGTGGTTTTCCCAGGTTTTCCAGTGGTTCTTTAACTGATGTCAGCTTATGATGAAGTCCTCCATGCAATCAAACAAAATCCCTACAAAAACCAATACTTTTTAGGAACTGTGAAGTATGCATCTTCCTTTTGTAGTACAGTTATTCACATCCTCTTTTTTCATTCACCTGAAAACATTGCAGTACTTCAGAACGTTGTGGACACTTTATTACTATTAATTATTTATTTTGAACGATGTTGTCAACCGAAAGTGTTGTAATCAAATTGAATTGGCTGGACTACTTCACACCCCTCCCCCTACCTCTTACTTTTTTCAATTATATCTCCCTCAAGCTTCACCCTTCTACACATACATAGCTTTATATGTGTTAAATTTTTGACTAATGACGTTCACTTTGTTAATCAAATGTAGGTGTCAAATGTAAATATGTAGGATTAATAAAAATAATTATAATAATAGTGATGATAATGGTGACAAAAATTCAAATAGTTGACGTAGGCAGTGATTACGAATAATGAAGATAGTATGATAACGTAGACATTTCATCCATCTAATTGGATCAATATACAAAAAGTTAAAAGTTACCTAAGGAATTAGACAGACAACTAGACTTTGAATAAAAATGTTAAATGTATGAAAGGCGTTCAGTTCAAATTGTTGAACACTTACATGTAGCACACAGAAGGCATAATTACACAGAAAAACACAAGGACTTAATGGGTCTGAAAGAGTACAAAGAGCGAGTCCATTTTAGCCAATGAGAAAGATTACTTATACCTTATGACAAAGAGTTTCCCAGCCACTGGTTTCTAGCATCCTGAGGACTCCAGACGGTCAGTTTACACCTAATTAATGGTTCAAGCCAAAGGTCGAAGACTTCATGGATCGATCTCAAGTCCTAGTTTGACTACTCCTGACTGTTTTTAAGCTTTAATCACTGTTGGCTAACACTTCTCGTCGAGAAAGGCGGTGACTACGTATGTGCGACATGTATTGTAGCCGTCTCAATCGATATAGCTTCACAACCTCATTGGCTGACTTATCCTCCTTCATAATGAATGATTCTCAGCCGATTTTTCTGACAAAACGTTATACTACTTCTGCCTTCTTATAAGTAGATCAATTATTAAATCCTGAAAACTTCCAGCCTACTCAACATAGTTTATATTTCTAAATGATATTTTGGATGTTTTGTAAGGAAGTTATTGAATTTAATCGGGAGAATGGGGTATGTATATAAGTACTAGTAATATATTACATATCACAGTGACTTTTTTCAAACTCTGTATTCCTCGCTTATCGGCCATATTCTATTCTGTATGTCAGCGTGAAGCAATAAAGGTCATCTTCAGTTTTTACATTTAAAGCTTTGTTTCTTCTTAAATTCAACTGTAAATCCAGTCATCAATAAAAAGAGATGTAAAGTTGTAGACACAAAAGTATAATGATTCGTGTAATGTGTTTGCTCAGCGTCTAAATGTCTGTGGAGATGAAGTTTAACCGACAGTCGAACCATAATATATGATGCCTTTCTCGGTCAAGGTTGGTTTGACCTGAACAAACAGAAATAGATGTCTCGCAGTCTGTTCTCTTTGTTTCTGTCGATGCATTGATTTTGCGATTGTATGACGGGATACAAGTGTTCTTGTTTTCATTAGAACTACACTTAGCCAGTGGTGGTCAAACGAAAACACAGCTTCATCAGTCAATGAAATCCACGACAGTTAGTTTAAGCTAGCCACGCCGGGAGGTGTAGACTACCTGGTTGGTGATATGGCTCGAAATCGTTCTCGGTGATGGCTGGCGCAGATTCATCCGCTCCTTGTGACTTATAATACCCAATGAAACTATATTGTTCTTGGATATTACTATTCTTTTTGCCTCATATCTCTGTTTACTGTTTCTATTTTACGTTTCTTTTTACTTTCTTCTTCTCTGGTTTTGTGTTCTGAATGAGGTGTGGCGACTTGAACTGCTGCACATCGGTGCAAATTTCTGTTTTGAATTACAGTCAGTCAGTCACTACTTAGTTGCTAAGGTAGAAGTAATTCGAATAGACTAGACCCAAGGGAACTGGGTCTGTTGATAGAATGTTAATGTTCACTCTCAGCATTTCTCTTGATATATATAATGATTTCATGTAACTCAAACTGACTGACATGTTGTTATGCTTGACATACAAATTGAGTACTCTCCATCTGCCAAAGCTTTGGCAATCAGATAGATTACATAAAGAGGTGTGGCTCATTGCCAACTGTTTTCTAAGTTGTAAATGGTGGTTGTTGAATGCCATATCTCTATGGTAGACAGGACCTGGATGTGTTTTTTGTAAAACAGTAATAATAATAATAATTTCATTCACCTCTACTTAATTCATCTTTTGTCCAGCTATTTTTATAAACCTTTATCAGCATTGATGCATAAATGTTAGTCTATTCCTAGTGTTGCATTCTACTATAATATATAAATAAATATTAAAATATGTGATACCCCCCTATCCATCCTCCCTTAAATAAAAGGTCAATATGTCAATAGACTGACTGACTACCTACCGTTTAAATTTCATGCAAAAAAAAATTTACATTTACATAAGTATTTATATTAACTAGAAATCAAACTGTTTGATTAACACCGGCAATTGTCCAATTAAATGAATTCAGTGAGTAATAATCATAATCATAGTAGGTTTGTTTATTTTTCCAGCGTTTTTGTTCCAATTACAACTAATTTTTTTGTTATTGTTGTGTGTGTATTTATGTCATTACATATTCGAGATATGACATTCACATTGTTGGTGATTGTACAACCGACCCCTTTTCATGTTACACTAAGAGGTCAGAGGTGGCATACATCAACTTGAGCCACCTCTGGCGCCGTTGCGACGTTAGCCTGACTGTCTGTCAAAGGTCGGGCATACAATGCTTCGGTGCGGGCTGTCTTGCTCTACGCCTGTGAAACCTGGCCTCTCCGAGTGGGCTGAGGATGTGCGGCGACTCTGCGTATTCGATCACCGCTATCTCCGCAGGATTGCTTGCGTTCGATGGATGGCATCATCGCGTGAGTAATTCTGAGGTTCAGCGGAGTGTGTGTTTGAACACAGTGGAGATCACCATTCATTGAGTGTCGTCATCTGGAAACACCGGCTCCGGTGGCTTGGACATGTGCTGGGAATGTCATCCCAGAAGCTTCCGTACAAGTCTCTGTTCGCTAGCCAGCCGTCGGACAGGATGGAAACGGGGGAGGGGTGGTCAGTCCATGACGTGGCGTAGTGGGATAAAGGATGTTTGTGCTAGATTAGCATCGGTTGGTGTGTCACGACTCTCTGGTTGGGGTCCGAGAGATAGCTCAAATCGATGGCTCAAAACGTTATCGGATATGGCCAAGAATCGTAATCAGTGGCGAATGTGCTGCGATCTCCTTCTTTCTTCCCTTCCCGATGATAGTTGACGAATACTGTTTGAACTTGTTAAGCATGACTGTTTTCCTGTTAGCGTAATGGAAGAGGAAGATTATAGATGACAAACGACATGCAACAGAAGCAGAGAGAAGCGTTGACTTACTTGACATTAGAATTAAAAATTAGGATGTTGCTTGATGTGGTCAGTGAGTGTGGTGAGTGAGTGCTGTAGACTTCCACACTTTCACGATCCTGCCTCTGATGTCTATCTATAGTTATGAAGAGTAAAATAATTTAAATCACTCATCTTCTCACCAGTGAGAGCTACACTCAGTGTTTGCTTGTATTATTCCACATATTATTATTAATTCCCGTCAGCGTGAGAGTAAATATAAGGGGCTATTTGGGTCTAGGATGATTGATTAAGAATGTTGTACAACTTAGCTGTTGGACTTGTCACTAATCTGATTTCCTGCAGTCAATGAAGCACACCTCCATTTAGCAGTTTAACTTTACATAACTTACTTGTATTAGATGGTCGGAGGCAATCGGCAGGAAGCCTTGGACCTAGGTCTTGTGCTAGTTGGCACTCATCAGCAAGGCGTATCTGTGACCTTGAAGGAACTCATGTCTCTTCAAGGTTGCAGATACACCTTGTTAACGAGTGCCGACTAGCACGAAACGTAGGTCAGGCAAGGCTTCCTCTGGCCGATTGCCTCCAACCGTCTAATGTCATCAAATCAATGTGCTGCACCGTGATGGCGAGTTACCTAGAATGGTGGCCACATTGCAAACTTGGCTGACTGATAGAATTCAGTCTGCACCAAAGAAAGGGTTAGACACATTCCACTTGTTACTGACTAGTGTTCAATCAAAAATAACTAACTTCTGTACTACTAATTAAGGCAGATAGAATGTGAGTGAGAGAAACAAAGGAACATTATTCCTAATGCTATAAAATCATGTAATTCCATTTCAGTAACCTGATTTAATGAATACTACTCATAGCTATTTTGTGATGAATATAGTTATGATTTTCTCACGATTAGAATATAATTCACTCTATAAATCAATAAACTATCTTTTAGGGTATGAATACTATCCTTCTCTAATTTTCATGACTCTTACATGGGCCATTATAAATGTATGATGTATAAAGGAAGTTGGAGGTGTGACTCATTGGTTTAGGCGCTTGATCTGCACATCTCTCAAGTTGTTACGATTTCTAACGCTTCCCCACTGACCGATAGTTTGGACAATCAGGT